GGAATAAAATGTATTTTTAAACATATTCAAATAGAAAACAGTGATTTGAAATTTTAATAATATTTCACAATATTACTGTTTTTACTGTATTTTTGATCACATAAATATAGCCTTGGTGAGCAGAAAAGAGTTCCTTCAAAAACATAAACAAAAATCATAATGCTTCCAAACTTTTGACCGGTATATGAATACGTTTCTGCATATGTTTTTGTATGACATTTCTAAGATATTTACGCATCATAAAAAATATTCTTGCGATGAATTGACATTATTGAACCAATTTTTAATTCTGTGTACTATATTATTATTTTTGATTATATGTCACTGTAGGTCTGGGAAGCCCTTTAAGTCCTGAAAGAACTCGAATGCTGCTCGCACTGAGGATCAATGTTTTGGCCAAAGGGTACAGCGGGGTTTCACTGGAGACGCTGCACCGCATGATCCAGGCCTTCAATGGTACATTAATGCATCCCTCATTATTTTATAACTGAAGAGAGTACTCTTGGGGTTTTTGGTTTCTTTGGCACAGCATATGAAACATGGTGTGCCATTTCAAAGAATACTTTCATGTTAGTTGCCGCGTCTTTGAAATAATATTAGCAAAAGGTTTCTTTGAATTTCTCCCTCAAAAGAGTTTTACCAAAGCTGATACTTTACCGTTTTCTTTCGTTTCTCTTACCAGCCTCCTGTTTATCGTACGTCCCGGAGAAGGGTACGGTGGGTGCGAGCGGAGATCTCGCCCCTCTTTCTCACCTCGCCCTTGGCCTCATGGGAGAAGGCAAGATGTGGTCGCCCAAGAGCGGCTGGGCGGATGCCAAATACGTGAGTACATACTCATTGGGTGCTTTGGTTGCAGATCTTTGTCCTAATGATAATGCAAGCAATGCATAAACACATTTACTCCTCGTTTAGCCTTTAAAGTTACATTTGACCTTTGTATTGCCCGCAGGTTTTGGAAGCACATGGTCTGAAGCCCATATCTCTGAAGCCAAAGGAGGTACGGCTAATTCCCCCATTGTGCAGTCAATATGTTTATCGCTGTTGACTTAGAGCTGTTTTGTGGGTCAGAAATGTGTGTCCTTGACCTGCCTGGTCCATTTTAACAGTGGAGCCCCTCTTAGAACCCACTGTAACCTTTAGAACAAGTCATTTTTATTGTATAGCAAAGTTCCAAACTAGAGAAGAAAGATTTTATAAGCTATATTTGTGTGCTAGAACGTGGTTGCTCAGCAGTTCTGTTCTGAATGGGTTGTTAGGTGGTGATAGATAGAGAGCAAATAGATTAATAAATAGATTGACTGACTGACAGATCAGTGGTTCAGTACTATTGTTCTGTGATAAAAGATAAAAGTGTTGGTTATGTTTATCTCTGTCTGCAGGGGCTGGCTCTGATCAATGGGACTCAGATGATCACTTCTTTGGGAGCAGAGGCCGTGGAGAGAGCCGAGGCCATCGCCCGGCAGGTTGACATCATCGCTGCCCTGACCCTGGAAGTCCTCAAGGGGACCACCAAAGCCTTTGATAGTGGTGAGCTCGTGTAAGCAAGTGATTGATGTGCTGGATGTGAGCCGACGTATTTAGACGCTGTTCTCAGTTCTGCAGACAGAAACTTTAAACACTGCAGTAAACGTTCAGACTTGTCAGACAAAACATATTGCCTCACATATAAAGTCACAGTCCCTGTCACAAATGCAGACATGCACCAATTCTCTGAGCACACGTTTTTGGTTATGCAATGGGAAGTAGACCAGTTTAATGAAAAAACAAATTTTCTTACAGATATTCATGAACTGCGACCTCATCCGGGACAGAAGGAAGTGGCCTTGCGCTTCCGATCCCTGTTAGACTCTGATCACCACCCGTCTGAAATTGCAGGTGAATCCTGCAGTGCTCGTATGCTCCATTAAAGCCCATATTTAACCATTTGGTGATAACCACTCTTGCGTTTTTCGATAATTGCAGAGAGCCATCGGTTTTGTGACAGGGTTCAAGATGCCTACACCATGCGCTGTTGTCCACAGGTAACATAAGATTTAATAACGAATAGTTAATTAACAATAATAGTTCATTAAAATAAAACTGAAATAAAATATAAATATTAGATGAAAAACTTAAAAAATGTTGCCTTTACAACTAATTGAAATAAGTTTAAGTTGAAGCACTAAAATTACTAACTGGAAATAATAAATAAAAACTAAAACTGAAATAAAAATAAAAATGATTTAAACCTAAATAGTAATATTTAAAAAACATTTCGTGAAAATTACTTAACTGGAAATATAAAATAAAAAACTTTGACAAATGTGCGAACTATAGTCTAATTCAGTTTGCTTTAAATGTGTGCATTAACTGGAAAGAAAAATGTACTTTAAATAAAAATAAACCTAGTAAAACTAAAATAAGTTAGAAAAGCACATAACAAAATTGCAATAAGTTAAACAAAAATGAAAATGAAAGCAGCAAATCTAAAAATAAAAGCTGGCTTGCTCAAGTGAACTACAGTTTAATGCATTTTGCCTTAAATATTGCAGGTCCATGGAGTCGTTAATGACACAATTGAGTTTGTCAAGAAAATCATTAATACAGAAATCAACAGTGCCACGGATAATCCTATATCCTTTTTACAGTTTTGTAGCTTGAACTTGTGTTGCAGTACCAGCAGTGTCTGTTGGTCATGTGACCTCAAATCACCAACACTTACTGAAAATGAACGACTTCTGGAGACTTTTTTTGTTCCTCCTGAGAATCCGTTTGGTGTCAAGGTTTGGCTGATTAGCTGGTCAATGCCATAACTACACCAGTCTCTTTAGTTCTGTACTTTTGGCCTTTACTGTAAGTTAGATGGTGTTTGCAGAAAGAGGTGAGACCATATCTGGTGGAAACTTCCATGGAGAATATCCAGCAAAGGTATTTAATCTCGCCATAATAGTGTTTATTTAGCAAAACGTTTCGGGCGACGTCTCTGCTGATTCGCTCCTTCCATTCTTAGGCTCTTGACTATTTGGCGATCGGGGTGCACGAGTTGGCTTCCATCAGTGAGAGACGCATTGAACGTCTCTGCAATCCCGCTCTCAGTGAGCTGCCTGCATTCCTGGTCAACGAGGGAGGCCTGAACTCTGGATTCATGATCGCACACTGCACTGCTGCGGCTCTTGGTTAGCATCACAAAGTTCAAGAGAGAATAACTTTCCTTAACCAAATACTAGAAGGTTTAATTTTGACATGTTGATCATTAACTAAAACAGATACGTTTCTTTCTGCAGTTTCAGAGAACAAAGTGCTTTGCCACCCCTCCTCTATTGACTCCCTGTCCACTAGTGCAGCCACGGAGGACCACGTGTCCATGGGAGGCTGGGCCGCACGTAAAGCCCTCAGAGTGGTCGAGCACGTCGAGCAAGGTTCAAAACCTGATATCAGCCTGCCATTTACCCATTGACATCATCCACTGTTCAATTTAGCTAAAATTGTTACTATAATGGTGCCCCTATTGGATTACCAAGGCACAAGAGCACAAATTGTAGTAGTACTTAATATTTTCCAACAGAATCTCTTGGCAAGTCGTAACTAGTTTATGTTATAGCGAATTAGTGGCAAATTTCATAATCTCATTCATACATTTTCATACTACTTACGCCCACTGTATGGTTGGATTTAGGGGTGGACCTGCTTGCTTGCTTATTTTTATTTTATTTTATTTTTTTAATTAACAATCATTTTTAATTTAATTAAAAAACATTTAATTGTACATTTTGTACAGTTCTTTTCTTCTAAAAATCATGTTTACAAAAATGCATGATTTTTAGAAGAAAAGAACTGTACAAAATGTACAATTAAATGTTTTTTAATTAAATTAAAAATGATTGTTAATTAAAAAAATAAAAAATTTTAAAAAGTGTTTGTAATGGTACTTAATATTTTCCAACAGTCTCATGGCAAATTTGTAACTAGTTTACGTTTTAGCGAATTTGTGGCTAATTTGTATGATCTTATTCATATCTGGTCCCATTGACTTGCATAGTGGTTTTTTTTCATGCTATGGAAGTCAGTGGGGACCAGCAACTGAAGCTGAACTA